GCTTGGTTTTTATACAAGCTTTTCAAAGTAAAATAGCGAGTGTTATATATGTGAGCTTGGCAGATGCCTAGTGGGCATAGCAGATGTCTTTTGGGCTTGGCTGACCTATCTCCAGCTACCGTCTTCCCTTACCATCACTACAGCGCCGCCTTAAATCACCAGGAAAATTGACTCTCCACTCTAACTTATACAGAGGAATTTATTCTGGTAATGTGCAATGGAGGGGGGTTGGGGTGTGAGGTTTGTGGGAGTGTTGGTGGGTGTGTGTGAGGTGTGTTGGTAGGAGGGGAGGTGTGTTGGTGGGGGTGTGTGAGGTATGATGTAGTGTTGGTAGGGGGTGAGGTGTTTTGGTGGGGTGTGTGAGGTGTTTTGTAGTGTTGGTTGGGGGTGAGGTGTGTTGTGGGTGTGTGGTGTGTTAATGTAGGGGTGGTTGTTAGTGGGAACACACACACACCACACACACACACACACACACCACACACACACAACACACACACAACATCACACACAGACACACACACACACACACACAACCACACACACACAAACACACACACACACAAACACCACACAACAAACACACACACACACACACACACACACACACAACACATTGTTTTTGCATATTGAAAGATTTTTTCATTGACAAAGATGTAAAAGAAATATTTTCGTCTTAATGTAACTTAGAAACAACAACTAAGGTAATTTTTCAAGTCAGATTTACTGATATATCATAGATCAGTTTAAATTTATTTAATATAATCAGTGATTGTATATATGTATATATATATATATATATATATATATATATATATATATATATATATATATATATATATATATATTTTATATATATTTATATATATATTTCATTTACGTTGTGTATGTACATTTTACTTCTATTGTATAAATGATTTAGAAAACCAACGAGTTGATGACCGTGACACTTGCGCAACATTTAGCAATGTTTATTGTTGAAACGTTTTACCAGCCAGTGGCATCATCAGTACTATAGAGAGAAAGACCGTGGAAGACGATACGATGAGTTTTAAGGTAATCAGTCCCTCGGGCTGGAGATGTGTGCAGTCCATCAGTCTTGATAAAAGTACAGCATATGTGTGGAGAAGTGACTTACGTACTGCAGACAGGTTAGGTGAAGCAGTTGGAGGCGGTCTCGCCAGTGAAAAAAAAAATTCATTAATGGAAATAGGTCATGTTTATAGGTTAGGCAAACAATGAAAAATTCCCTGTACTAAGATCCCAAGATCTTCAACGTTTGCCTAACCTATAGTCATGACCTATTTCCACTAGTGGATATTTTTCACTGGTGACGCCGCCTCCAACTGCTTCACCTCACCTGTCTGCAGTATACAAGGCACTTCTCCGCATATATGCTGTACTTTTATCAAGACTAATGGACTGCATACATCTCCAGGCTGAGGGACTGATTACCTTGAAACTCCTTCTCATCTTCCACTGTTCTTCTCTGTTTTGCACTGAAGAAGCCACTGACTGGCGAAACGTTTCCACAATAAAGATAACCCAGTGTTGCACAAGTGTCACATTCATCAACGTTTTACTTCGCTTCAGTAACTTAACGCGCAGATATACATCAAATTAATTTTATTTTCCCTCAGTGGCAACAAGTGCGATTTATTTCCCTTAATGGGAACAACAGGTGCGATTTATTTCCCTTAATGGGAACAACAGGTGTGATCTATTTTCCTCACTGGCAACAACTGGTGCGATTTATTTTCCTCAACAGGAACAACAGGTGTGATCTATTTTCCTCATTGGCAACAACTGGTGCGATTTATTTTCCTCAACAGGAACAGCAGTGTTGATTATTCCTCACTGGCAACATGGTGCGTTTATTTCCTTTATTAAAAGAAAGTCATTAACTGGTATGAACTGGCAAGCTGAGTCTCTTTTGCACGACTGGCCAGTTAACAGTCACACGGGTGTCCAAATTAGCCTAGTACACGGGTGTCCAAATTAGCCTAGTACACGGGTGTCCAAATTAGCCTAGTACACGGGTGTCCAAATTAGCCTAGTACACGGGTGTCCAAATTAGCCTTAGACACGGGTGTCCAAATTAGCCAAGTACAAGGGTGTCCAAATTAGCTTAGTACACGGATGTCCAAATTAGCCTTGTACACGGATGTCCAAATTAGCCTTGTACACGGGTGTCCAAATTAGCCTAGTACACGGGTGTCCGAATTAACCTGGTACACGGTGTCCAAATTAGCTTAGTACACGGATGTCCAAATTAGCCTTGTACACGGATGTCCAAATTAGCATGTACACGGGTGTCCGAATTAGCCTAGTACACTGGTGTCCAAATTAGCCTAGTACACGGGTGTCCGAATTAACCTAGTACACGGGCGTTCAAATTAGCCAAGTACACGGGTGTCCAATTTAGCCTACTACACAGGTTTCCAAAATAGTCTGGTACACGGGTGTGAAAATTAGACCAGTACACGGGTGTGAAAATTAGCCCAGAAAACGGGTGTGAAAAGCAACCCAGGACACGGGTGTCCAAATTAGCCTAGTACACGGGTGTCCAAATTAGCCTAGTACACGGGTGTCCAAATTAGCATAGTACACGGGTGTCCAAATTAGCCAAGTACACTGGTGTCAAAATTAGCCTAGTACACGGGTGTGGAAATTAGCCTAGTTCCCGGGTGTGCAAATTAGCCTAGTACACTGGTGTCTAAATTAGCCTAGCACACAGGTGTCTAAATTAGCCTAGTACACGGGTGTCTTAATTAGCCTATTACACGGGTGTCTAAATTAGCCTAGTACACGGGTGTCCAAATTAGCCAAGTACACTGGTGTCAAAATTAGCATAGTACACGGGTGTGCAAATTAGCCTAGTACCCGGGTGTGCAAATTAGCCTAGTACCCGGGTGTGCAAATTAGCCTAGTACACTGGTGTCTAAATTAGCCTAGTACACGGGTGTCTTAATTAGCCTAGTATCAAGGGTAATAATTAGCCTATACACGGTGTCATTATTTAATTAGCCTAGTACACGGTGTTGTCTTTTAATTTAATTAGCTAGTACACGTTCGTTGCGAAAACTCGCGAAGTAATACAAGCGCGACTACATTGAAGCCGCGCACGTGCTCCCACAGTGTGGCAGGTAAATATGTTGCCTTTACTTGTCTCACCTCATAATGACAAACGAATTAAAGGTATAATAATGATTAATAATAATAATAATATAATAATAATAATAATAATAAATAATAATTATAATAATATTACTATTTTATTAATTATAATAATATAGTCTTTTAAAATAAAATAATAATAATAATATAGTTTTTTAAAATAATAATAAAATAATAATTAACACTGACAGTAAGTCACTAATAGATAATGCTATATTTACTATATACATAACTGTACAAACACATTGAAATAATAATAGTAATAAAAATAATATAATAATAACAACAATAACCAGATTTTTTACAAATAAATACAACGGTAATAATTCTATAAAATTAATTATTATTATTAATGACAGTAATAATGATACGAAGAGTAACAACAATAATAACATTATTACCAGTAAAATAATAATTATATTAATAATGGCAAAAAATCAAATGTCATTATCGCTATCCTTATTAATGAACAGACGGTCAGATATTGTTTATTTAACAGTAAGGTTTCTAGGAAGCCTTTTATTATTGATAAAGAAATAAAGTTCGCTGATACTTGCTCACTGGGGCGCCAATCTCACCTCTACCTGCAATAACGGAGGCTTTCAACATACATATATGTACACTCATACACACACACACAAATTATATATATATATATATATATATATATATTATATATATATATATATATATAAATATATATATATATATATATATATTATATATATATATATATATATATATATATATATATATATATATATTATATATATATATATATTTATTATTATAATTTCCTTTGCTTTATTTCATGAAAAATATTTTTGTTTTATCATTATTATTATTGTTTAAAATATTATTATTGATATTATTATACTGTCAACATTATAAGTAAAAATAATTGTCTTGTGCATGTAGAATAATGTTGTGAGTTTAAAGGTAAAAAAAATTTGTCAGAACTTAGGCTGACTAAACGAGTGTCAGCGAGTGCTGTTTAGACTGTGTGTGTGTTTGGACAGTGTGTGTCGGCGAGGTCTATGTTTAGACAGTGTTTGTGTATCGGTGAGTACTATGTTGAGACAGCTTGATGCACGAGAGGCATGTTGACTGGTTGAAGTAGTAGAGAGAGGATAGTGGTCGTGGGAGTTGTGGTAAAGAGGTAGTTGGTAAAGGGCGTGGTTTAAAGAGGTTTAGTAGAAGGGGAAGTGGTTGGAAGGGGTAGTTGCTAAAGGAATAATTTACTGAAGGGGTTTTGTTTGAAAGGAATAATTGTTGAAGGGGTAGTGACTGCAAGAGCATGGTTGAAAAAATAAAACAGTGGGTGGAAGGGAGAGATGATGGGTGGGAGTAGTGGTTGCAGAGGTAGAAGTTGAATGGGATAGTAGTTAGAAAGGTTACTATTTGAAAGAATAGTGGTTAGAGAGGTAGAGGCATGAAAGCTAATAGTTGAAGGTGATAGTAGTAGAGGAATAACGTTGTAAGGGAACAAACTAGCAGGTAGCAAATGTAATCAGTGTAATGTGTGGTCATAAGTGTTGGGTGGAGCAAAGGGAAAAAAATATTGCGGTTAGGGGCGCAGGAAGCGCTAAGAAAGGGAGAGTGGTGGTTATGGTTAAGGGAAGCTGCAAGCGTTGTTAAAAAAAAAAATTCCCCTGGTTAAGGGGCGAGGAATTGTTCTGGCTGGTGGGGCAGGAATTAAAGGGAGAGGGGTTATCGTGGTTAAGGCAAGCGGGCAACGCCAAGGGGTAAAGGATTATTCAAGTTAAGGGAAGCGAGTAACGTGGACAAATAAGGATAATAATGGTTACAGCGAGCAGGAGACTCACCTGATGAAGGTCTGTCGGAGTATCTGGTACAGTAGACCCAGGCGGGCCAGTTGTTGGAGTCGTCGACGGGGACCTTAGGGTTGGCCAGGGCCTCTGGGTTCTCAGGGTACTTGTTCCCTCCGTTCTTGTGGTGCTGAGGTCTGGACCTCTGACTCAGGTCCACCGGCGATTCCGGGCTCTTGGGCGGCGTCCTTAACAGCAGTTCTGGGGTGCGGATGGTCGGCGGCTCGTTGAGTCGCGTCAAACCGAAGTCCGGCCGAAGGATGTTTTCGATGCTGAAGGGTAATGAGCGAGGACTCGGGGCGGTGGGTGGCGGGGAGTGAGGGACTTTTGACTCGTGCTGGGGTCTTGGTGAGGGCGGGGGCGGACTACGGGCGTCGTGTGTGGGCGGGGGTGGGCTACGGGCGTCGTGTGAGGGCGGGGTGGGCGGTAACGCCGGGCTGACGGGGGCAGGAGCGCCCATGACTGGAGACACTAGCGAGTTCGGCGTAGCTGTAGCGACTTGTTGCTGTCGCTCGAACTCCAGGGCCATTACGCACTCGGCACTACACCAGCTCCTGAGGGGCCTGCACAGTTCTGGGTGTCGTCCTGCGTGAGGAGACTCGCGTGTCAAACACACAACACGTCCTTACTCTCTGGGCTGACAGCCTGCTGTCACTCGGACATCTTACTACCGCCTCCTTGGCTTATATACTGACTCACGCCCCTGGGCCGCAGCCCAGCTGCTAGACTCCGCCCACCGGCCACCACGCCGCCATATGACTGACAGATGCCCCGCCTAAGCCACGCCCGTAACTACACCGACCAACCACGAGTAGCTTGGCTCACGAGGCTACGCCCAGCTCTTCCCCGTCATTGGCTAGGAAGTTGCTGCAGTGAGGGGACGCCTCCGGCTGCAAGTAATAGAGCTGTGTTGCTGATTGAGTCCCGCGTCCATAATGAAAGCTTGATACCGACAAATATCATGTGTTAATTCTTGCTGTCAACGTCTACCAGCTCCCCCACCCAATTTTATTTAAAATTCTCCCGTTGTGCTTCTGTTCTGGAGACAATGAATATAAATGGCCGATTATCATGAAGAAAACGGGAGTAGAATGTCAGCCCAGACGAGGAGGGTTGCCTAGTAATTTGAAGCCCTAGTAATTAAAGGAAGGAAGTATGATGCACTGAGAGATTCGTCTCGACGTAATTACCTGATTCCAGGTGTAGTCAGCACTGGAGGTACTTCTTAAGTGGGAGGAAATTATTAATACTGTGATATTGATTATCATGCAACTGATCAGTTTCTCTCTCTCTCTCCCTCTCTCTCTCTCCCTCTCTCTCTCTCTCCCTCTCTCTCTCTCTCCCTTTCTCTACCTCCGTCGCCCTTACTCTCTTTCTCATACTTATTATTTCTTCTACGTATATATATATATATATATATATATATATATATATATATATATATATATATATATATATATATATATATATATATTATATATATATATAATGTATGTATGTGTGTGTGATGTATGTATGTATAATCTGGTGAACACTAAACTCTTACGTATCGTGCAGCGACTATGGGATTAGATTAAATTAGCTTTGATCCCGTATAAGTGGACATTATCCACATAAAGAGAATATATAGCTCACGAAATCGTAATAACACGACTGTAAACAAACCACGGAATGGGTGAGGTTTGAACCCATGGCGAGTGAATCGTAAAACTCCAGGTCAGTCGTAATCCACTTGAGTTTTACGACTCGCTCGCCATGGATTCAAACCCCACCCGTTCCTTGATTTGGTTTGACACTATATACACTGTGATCGTCATCATTTATGGTGTTCACATATAATAAGTATACAGGGTGTTTCAAAAAGATGGACCCGATTCGAAATTGGATCCCTCACTATATCCAGATACAAACAATAACCGTTCATGGCTGATTAAGGTTTAGGTTAGGTTTGTCAGGAAACAGGACAAGTGTTTCCTAACGCGGGTAGTCTTACAATGACCTGCTGCTGGAGCTTTTGGTCATCTGACCGAGGCCTTCGTCTGGTTTACCGGTCGACCCCTTTAAAAATTATGGTTATAAGTGTAATTATCGATAGGAACTGTTTACCGGGAGTCAAGAACTGCTCTTCTAGTTCCAAGCTGCCTGCATATAGACGCGTAATGCAGAATAAACTTGCTTTTTCAACGACTTTTCGCTCAGGGTTGAGGTTTATGTTTTATCTTGTTTATTTTTTTTTATGTTAGGTAAATGGACACAGATGCAACTAATGTGACTTTTTATTATGACAGGGTTTCGCTTCCCAGTTTTGTCAAGCTGTTTCACTCCTGGAGAGCGAAACGTTGCCACAATACAATGTCACATTAGTTGCGTCTGTGTCCTTTTTGCCTAACATTTTGTGTGTAATTCTACCATTATTACGTCTTGTTTTTAGGTGACAGTGGTACACCTTAGTCAGGTGTTTGTCAAGTCTTCAGCCTTAGTCAGGTGTTTGTCAAGT